AGTCAAATTTAAAAGAAATAATGCGAAAAGTATTGTTAGAGAAATGGGTTAATGTGTATTTTTTGTCAGAACGACGAACTTTTTCTTAAATTTCAAAACATTTATACTCAGAATTTTCAAATTCAAAATCTAACATTGTATAGATCAAAGACAAAACTAATGGAAATTACGGACAAAAATGAAATACTAACTATAATAGAAGAGGAACACCTTCGTAACAATACAGAGGCATACAAGAAATATTTCTTGAATTGAAAAATAAAGTTTTTTACCCTAAATTATTTAAAATAATAACCAAAGTCATTAATAATTGTTCAATTTGTAAAATAGCAAAACACGACAGAAATCCAGTTAAACATCCTTATCAAATAACAGAAACTCCAAAGTATTTCAACGACCTAGTCCACATAGATATTTGGTTTCTATACAGAAATGTAATGTATCTCACAACAATAGATAAATTCTCAAAATACGCAACGTTCCATAAACTTAAAGAGAGGAATTGGATTGTGATCTTGGCAGCTTTGAAGCAACGTATACAATTTTTAGGCAAAATGCGGAAACTAGTATTTGATAACGAACGCTGTATATTCACAGCGCAGTAAGATTGTTTTTGGAAGAGGAAAACATTGCGACACATGTAACCACCCCATGGCACAAAACAGGTAACTCTGACATCGAACGTTTACACGGTACTTTAAATGAACATTTGAGAATAATAGAAACAGATAAAAGCAATAAGACAGTACAGTTAAGTGACAAACTTTTCAAAATATTTAACTCGTACAATAACACAATACCTTCAACAACAAAAATGAGGCCAATTGGTTTTATAATTAAAAATTATGACAAAGAATCGATTCAGAACTTATCTAGAAAATACAAAGAAGAAAAAATTGAAAGAAGCAATCAGCTTAACAAAAAGAGGCACCGTGAGTCAACTCTGTTGGATAACGTGGTAGTTAACAGACAAATTGCAAAGAATACACCTAAATACAAAAAACTGGATAAATAAGAGCGTCATGGTAATTATGTAATAGACACATCAAATAAAAGGAGAACGAAATATTATAAAACACAATTGAAAAGCAAATATAAATTCCAAAATGAATGAAGAGAAAATTTATGACAAATGAAACAAAAAAAAAATGTTTAAAACGAAATGTATGAATTATAAATCAATTAAAGAACTTTATGCAATATGAATAATTTGCAGAGACGCAAATTTCTTAAGGGTGGATGTGTTATGTATCTAGATATTCCCCTCACCCTACACACCATATTCCGTACGCTTCCCAACACTTAATCTCTATTTCTCCTTGTCTCCCATCTCCTGTTGCAATAATTATCATCTCGTCCACTCCACCCGCTATTCGCTTTAAGTAGGCTATGTGCATTTCAGTGTAACTAGAATAAGTTAGTTCGATTTTTGAATTGCTGAGATAAAGAACTCGCTTAACATACTTAACTATACGTAATTGTATTTAATTTTTCTTTACTTTCAGATGTTAATAATTTTTTTATTGAATATAGTTCTGTAATAATATTCTGTAATAATTGTTTCTTAATAAAGAAAAAAATTAAATTAAAAATATTTATTTATAATTCTACCAAAAATTTAAAATTAGGAATCAACAAATTCAACCCTGCATCAACTGACGATTCGGGTAATTAGAGCAGCTCAGCTATATTCTTACATAAATAATTTATATGACACTGCTGAATGAGCGCAACAGAGATGTATGATCAAATGTATACGTACGTTTGAGGGGAAAAGTGATTAGAATATTCAAGCGGCCTATGGCGAGCTCACCACTACTTTTGAGGGTTTCAAAATCTACTGTTTCGCTAGTTTTTTCAACACTTTTGGCTGACAGGGATATTAAGTTTGTTAGGGTATTATGATAGTATCGAACATGTGTACATATATAGCATATATGCAAACATATTCATATATGATATTATATTATCAAAAATAAGAAATATTTAAAAGTGTTCCTTTTTCGCACATTAACCCTTATGTTAGTAACCGCGTACCCGGGTACCCACCGCAGTGTATTTGTGTGAATAGCTTAAAAAATTCAACATTTCATATTAAACTTTCAAATCGCCGTTTTTTTAGGTTAAAAAAAGGTATTTGTGAGTTCATTTAATTGATTTTTTAGCTTAAACTCTACAGTGAAAGCATAGGAAATAAATTGTATATAATTTCTATTAATGCATGCAAATAAATTTTATTAAAACATAAAGAAATGTTATTTTATAATTAAGGACATTGAACACATTTTACACGATTAACTGCTGTTCACAACAGGTGCTTGTCACAAACAGGTTGGTGACAGTTGGTACAGGTCTTCCGTGTCTTTCAGCATCTTCTTATTGGAAAAGCATTGCAGTCATGACAAGATCCTGTTACCTTTTTCTTCCGGTTTTATCTTTTGGAGTCTCTGGACCAGGATTTATCACGACTGTTTCTGTCAGTGTATGACCTAATATACTTTCAACGGCAATCTTTGTGGAGAAGTGGCGCATTACTTGTGGATTCGCCGTGCGATTTTCAATAATCGGCAATGCAAGTTCTTCACTTAGTTTACGCATAAATTGACGACGCTCCATCGTTTTTTTGGCAATAATTTTATTATTTTCATAATAAATTATATATGCCGCAAGTGAAGAAATATCTAGCATGTTGAAGAACATTGCCATTGCCCATCGCGAAGATCGTCGTTGACTGGTGTATCTCTGCACCATTTGATGCATTGTATCTACTTTATATTTATTATAAAAATTTATTACTTCTGGCTTTTGTTTAGCGTCATCACCAACTGATATATCTGAATGCATTGTCGATATCAGAATGGTTTATTTTTTTAGAAACTGCCTTGTCTTCTTTTTTACGTTCACTTCAAGTAATACTATCGTCGAATCGCAGAAAACGCATGTCAAATGTATGATCTGTGTTCGAATTGTTTGCGCCAGTACAAATCAAGATACCGAAGAACGAATAAATTTCGGGTATCGTAACGGGCTTCCATTGATGCTGTGAGTTTGGATGGTTAGCATTGTACTCTTGGAAAATTGTTTCAGCTTTTTTATTACTGTGAGTAGTTTTTTCAAAGTCTCGGTAATTGACAACGTTCGGCAGTGCGATGAGGCCCACTCCGCTGRCGTACAACATTATGAGCTGTGGTCTGATGCTGAGTTGGTGAAGTTTTGTTCTACACTGTTTTATCTTGGGCAGTAAAACTCCTAGATAGAGCTCTTCCTAAAATAATAATAACAACATTTATTAGTTATTTAAAAAAAATAATTATTATTTCAATCATTGCTAAGAACAAATATTTTACTACCTTCTGTTTCTACTTCATTGTCGTCATCCTCACTCTCGCTACTCTCAACTTCTCCTTCTTCTACTGCTGAATTCTCTTCAGCGATTTCTTCTGTATCTTCTGGTTTGTCACGCACTGATTTACCTTGTTGATTTTGATGTCTGACTCTATTTGCTGGAATCCAGTCTTCGTCATCGTAGAAACCCTATTCGGATCACTGTCGTGTACTCCAACTAGTTTCCTCAAGTACTCATTCTTTTCGGTTGCACTTAACCTAATAAATTAAATATTATGTGATATACGTCGTACATAATTATATTACACAAAATTCTAATTAAAATATTTACAAATGTTAAATATATTATATGTAACGTTTACTTACCGAGCCTAGTCAGCTCTCGATAATTGTTCACTGTCAAGAGAGCACCAAATGAAACAAGTCTGATCCCACCAAAAATCTGTTACGTACTAAAAAATGCTCGAATCTAGTGCGCGATAGACACAAAAAAATAACCTTGAGTTTTTCTTTCTGTCTCGAATGGAATCTGCTCGGCTCCGAAGAATAAAAACCGGCCGATTATCTGGGTTGTCCCAAATTGGTTTCAGATGTAATTCAGGATTCTACGTTGTTATTTTTTTTTCATTGAAATGTCACCGACTATTAATATTTGAAGGAAAAATTTTTTTATATTTTTTTTTTACTAAAACGAACAAACTTTTCAATACTCAGCTCGTGGGTTCCCGGTACCCGGTTGCTAAAAGACGTCGGTAAAGTTGGTTACTAACATAAGGGTTAACTACAAATATAGTTTTGAAAATATTTAGTATAATTTAATTTATATGTTATCAGTTTTGGATGCATTCATAAAATTCTCAAAATGATATCCATATCAATTACTATAATTGCATGTAAACATATAAAAAATATAAGCAAAACCCCAACGTTATAATAGCAATGTATTTATATTTTCGTGCATAATTTTCATTCAATGCTCAGCTCTGTTCACGGGCCACTGTTAAAATTTCTCCATCTGAGCTAGCAGTGGTGGAACGCGCTCATCGCATTTTGTTAGCTTTTGAATGTTTGAATCTGTTTCATAGTCACTATTCGAGAAAAATTTAGTATGCCGTCCCAGGATTCAAATTTAAGTGAGGAAAGTTTTCTGATCGCCAATCACGTGGGAGTGGCCAGAAACGATTCTTTTACATATGACTCAAGCAGCTCACGGCTTCCGGTCCTTGACCAAGTATACTCTGGGTAGCCTAAGAATATCCGTTTGAAGGTGAGCTAAAGTGAGAAGGCGAAACATTCCCTGCATAGGGTTGTGCGCTGGGTTTGGGACCCGCCACGTAAAAAAAACCACCCCAATGACAACGCAACAACAGCCTCGGATGAGAGACCCCACTTTTGATGACGACCATGGCAAACGAAATAAGGACTACGGATTGAGGGCATGCACTTGGTATGTCCGGTCCCTTAATTGGGAAGGTGCCGCTGCCCAGCTGGTTGATGTCCTCGTAAAAATTAAGGCTGACATCACCGCCGTCAAAGAAATGCGATGGACGGGACAAGGACAGAGACGAGTAGGTCCTTGTGGCATTTACTACAGTGGCCATATAAAGGAGCGCAAGTTTG